AAGATTACCTATTTTGAAAAAGTGTAATTATATTTTATGATTCAATTTCCTTTCAATATAATAATAAATTAATAATTTTTTACCTATATTTAATGGAAAAGCATAGTGTATCACTAATTGAACTTTTTTATCATTAAAATCTATACCAATAGTATTAGTTGCAATCATAAGCTGAATTGTATTATCTTTCCATAATTTCAACTTCTTTTTTTTCTCTTCGCCATCTAAAGAACTATAGTATATAGCCATCATTAATTTAAGGTCTGATTTTCCATGAAGTTGTTCATAAATATCATTACATGCTCGTATTGTTGAGCAGTAAATAATACATTTTACTTCTTCTAATTCCTTTAGTAGTTTGATAATTTCTTCAATTGTTTTTTTTTTGTACTTTTAGAATGTACTTCCATTGTAAGTTTTAGACACAAAAAAGTTATTTCTCAAATAAAAACTGTATTATTTGAAGTAAGACAAAGATTTTTCAAAATCATACGGGCATTAGATTTCTTATAAGTTCTTATAAGCATCATAATTAGGCTGCCTGAAAATAAATTAGAGATTTTCTTTAATTGGTTCCATGATTCTCTATATAAGAAAATTTCAAATTGTTAATATATTAAAGAGTTTTTAATTTAAAACTGAATTAAATGCTTACCTAAAATAGTTACATTCTAAAATGCAATGTACTTTATCTATTACAAAAGATACAGGTGCATATTTGACAAAATTTAGGAGCATTGTAGTAAAGGATTTATTGCAAATAAAGCTTTCTGCAGTTATATATAAAAGTTTGATTAGTCCAATAGCAATCTCAGAAAAGACCTTTTCAAAATACTATAAAGGTTGATGCTTTTCTGCATAAATGCTAGCACATCTAATTCCAACAGCAATTATTTCAATCTATAAAAAATCAGGTAATGGTTAATTATAATTCTTTGTTTAAATAATTATTATTCTTAACTATCATTTGGTCATCAATTAGAGATACTAATGGGCTTATTACAATAGTTAAATCTTTACGCAGAATTGCAGAAATCCAATAACATATTGTTTTTCCTGCACCTGTATACATTAAAACAAAAGTATGTTTTCCACTAATATATGCTAATATTGCTACCTCTTATACATCTCAAAACTCTTGGTATCCAAATATATTCAAAAGTATATTATATAAGATAGGCGGATTTGTTTCTGAATTTTGTAAAGATAATATATATTGCTTATTTGGAAATTTCTGATGCAATTTGAATTTAAGACAAAAATCATGGTATCTGCATAATCTTGACAGAGAATACTTTGAAAAAGCTTCACAAGCCATGCATTTTAAATTTTTTCAAAATCAAGTATGTATTTAGTAAATTTAAGTTCAAATTCTTTAGCTTTAATTTTTTCTTATACATTACACCCATAAGATATGAAGTCCTAAAAAAAGTAGAATATTATTAATATTATTCATTTACTTAATCAATTTTAAATTATTTTATACTTACCTTATCCCAATTAAATATTTCTAAGCTACTTCTTTATTCTTAAATTTTTTTTCCACGTTCTTTATTTTGCTGATCAATGGTATTAAAATTTTTTTGATTTTGTTTTTCTTATTCTTCAGTGATCTTATAAATATTTTTCTTGTCTATTTCAGAAAATTTTTTAAGATTACAAGCTGATCGGGTAATTTCTAGCATATTTAATAATCCATTATTATATTGAAGAATGGTAAGAGCATGATGTGTACAGTAAGTTTTCTAATAATCAATTTTTTTATCCAAAAAGCACAGTTTAACTCGATTGAATGCTTCATTATATAATGTTCTAATATGTATAATTAAACTCTGTTTTGTAGGTATATAAAAGCATTCTTGAGAAAGTTGCGAAAATTTTTCCTTTGATTAGTTGTATATTTCTTTAAATGTGATACATTTAATTGAATATTAGGATTTTCTTTTCTCCAGCATACTTCATTCTAACAAAGACTATGATCATCTGAAAGATGAGCGACAAGTCTGATAATATGTACTTTTTCTAATTCAGCATCTGATACGATAATCTTATTCTCATCAAGTTTTTATCTACTTGCTGTATATATACATGAATTATAATAGGTTATATTGTATTTTCATAATTTTTTCACATAGAATTTTTGATTATCATTTTAAATCAAATGAAAATTAGAATCAAAATTTTATAATTACAACTACAAATTTTTTAATCGTTTATTTTATTTTTTAATCTAATTTATTTAAAAAAGCTTTATTTATAATAAGTAATTATAAATCTTTTAATCATTTATTATATTTTTTTAATTTATTTATTAATTTATTTATTTAAGAAAGCTTTATTTTATAATAAATAATTACAAATCTTTTAATAGTTTATTATATTTTTTAATTTAATTTATTTAAAAAAACTTTATTTTATAATGAGTAATTACAAAATTTATTTTACTAAAAATATGATTAAAATAACATTTAGCTTATAGTCCTCTTAAAATTTCAAAATTACAAATAATAAATAATCTAAAAGTATTAAAATTTTAATAGATTTAGTAGTCTTAAAACTTAACCCTTACTTTTAACAACTTACTGATTTTTGCTCTAATATTTTGCTAATATGTTTTAAATCTGCATATACTTTGTTCATACATGGAATATTATTTAAAGTCTTGTTTGAATTTAGATCACCATCAACTCTTATATCCAAAAGTACTTCAGCTGCTTCTAATACAGGCATAATTTTTTTAATAATTCATAATAATATTGTATGCTTCATTTGCCATGATGTCTTTTCGTGATTTTTATGAAAAACCTCATATTTTTAGCCATTCTTTCTCTTTACTTTGCATGGTTTTTCCACAGTCGATAAGCAATAATAGGTTTATGCTCACATCCTATTTGTAAAATAAAATTCCATTTTAAATTCTGCTTTTTTTATTAACTAAAAAATCTTATTTCTACCTTCAAAATATCCTTGAAATATTAGTTTGCCGCTAGCCTAGTTTGCATTTCAATAATGCGATCAGAAACAGTCAAAACTGGTAGGTAATATTCTTTCACCTTTTACTTTAATTTGTGCTATAGCTTTAGCTAAAGCAATTTTTGCACTTGTTTCAGCTTCATTAATTATATTTTTTAAATATTCATTTTGTTTATTATGGTAATATCCTTTTGATAATTATGCTGTAATGCCTATCATAGAAAATATAGTTTGAAATTGTTGCCTATTGACACTACCAAAAAGTCCTGCACCTGCTACAAGAGAAAAGAATTGCGCATTAGGTGATTCATTACTATATTTCACAATTTCTTGGCATATTTTGCATTTAATTTTAATTTGAAGATTATAACCAATTTTACAAACTTATCTTTTTTTTAGAAAGATTACGATTATGACATGTTAAACAAGGTTGAGTATATATATTAGTAAGATACTGTTCAGTATCAACAAGAATTGTAGATCTAATATTTGTTTCTTTCATAGTTTTTTGCATCCAATTGTTTAAAAATTTTGATCTTTTTTTCATGTAACTTATATTTCAAGTTTTTAATATATGTATTGTTAGCTTCAGTTTGCTTGATTCATTTATGTGATGCGTTACCCATTTTTTTAATGATTCATATTCAACTGCAAGTGCTAAAGTTACTTCTGAAGATAAATGCATTTCCAATTTTTTGATTTCAATATCTTTACAAATTATTGGCAATTAAGAGATCACTGATGAAGTTTTTAGTAGTTTTTCACCCTTTTTTTGCATGGTAGTAGTCAATTTTGTGATTTTATTTTGAGTTTTAGTTTTATAGGAGGAGTATTAAAAATGTTTGGATAAATTGAATTAACTCTAGCTTGTAAATTATAAATAATATTAGGATCATGCAATCTAAGAATATCAGGAATAGATATTTCTCCTGATACTTTTATATATTTTTTCATATTTGCAAAAAAATCTGAATTTTTTTTACAATATATCATTTGCGATATTGCTATATCTTTATAAAATTTCCAACTATATACAAAACGTTTTTGAATTTCTAAATATATATATTGACCTCTAAACTTTTCAATTACACAATAGCCAAGAAGTATAGGAACTCATGGAGAAGCTGATATATTTTCTTTTTTTGTAATAGCATAATAATATGGATTAGAGGAATAATCCTTATTTGTTCGTAGTTCTGAATGTATTGTAAGAACTTTGAGTGGTTTGGACATATCATGAAGCATATATCCACTATTTGCTCTTTTAAATCTTTCTAGAATACAATTATGATTTTGCATAAATTGTATTCAATCTGGAATTCTAAAATAATTTAAAAATAGAAAAAAAAAATATTATAAAACAGTCAAAAATTTTTATTAAATAAGTAATCTTATATATTACTTTTCTTTCTTATTGCCTTTTGCCGTCATTTAAATTTAAATATATGGTGTTTTTTAACATACACAAATGTAAAAAAAAAATTAGTCATGATATGTATATCAGATATATTGGTAATTTATTTAGCTAAGCCAATTATTATTTATTTGTGCTGATCGGGTATCAACTTATATTTGAATTGATAAACAAATCTGATTTTTTAGAACTGTGAAACAATAGACATTTATTATATTAAAAATTCAATATGAGAATGACTCTACCCTTAAATTACATTAAATATAATACTGGTTGAAATCAAAAAATCAGATATGCGAAAAATCGGCCTAAATTCAGCTTAAAATTTTACAAATTATTAAAAATTGGTTTAGCTAATTAGTATATACTAGAAATTGATCAAGAATCAGCTAAAATTTGATCTATTTTATTTGTAGCTAATTGGCATACTTATTACCAATTGGTATATATCAAAAATCAGCTAAAATTTGACCTATCTTATTTATAGCTGATTGACGTCTGATTTACATCTGATTGATATACATCAAAAATCAGCTAAAATATTTCAAAATAAAATAAAATTTAGAAGGAAATATAACTGATATTTAGGATTAACAGCCAAATAATGCTAAAAATATTCAATTTATTTTTACAAATGATACTTTCTATTAATTGTATTAATAGCCAAATATTCTTTTACATTTCATCAGACTGAAATTCAATAGTTAATTAGTATAAATTGACCCAAAATATGATGAACTGATATTATACAATCATGACTTTCTGGATAAAATTTAGCATTCCATAATTTGACATTGCATGTTTCTTCTTTACTAAAATAATATCGCATATTTTGAGAACTTTCAGGTTTATACTAATGAATAAATGCTAAAAAATATTTAACCTGTCTGGATGATAAATCGACCTTATATGTAAAATAATATTGGACTTGACCAGGATAACAATTGACTATATTATTATTTGTAATAAATTTGGTTAAAATGTATGAATTTTTATATATCGTAAAGACATCAATGATCTAAAGATTTCAAAACTAATTTGGCACCTTTCGAATTAATTTATTTTGATCTAAATTGTTATACCATCTTTCAAATCCTTATTGAATGGCTTTCTAAAATTAAACGTAATATAAATTACATTATAATATTTAACTATCAAATCAAGCATTTCACTTAAAATAATTATATTATCAGATGATAGTTTAAGAAATTTGTGAAAAATGATTTACTACTAGTAACATTTGATTTCTTAATATTTCATGAATTCATCTAAGATTGATGGATTTTATCAGAAGAAAATTTATCTGTATCTGAAAGGGAACCAATTAAAGGCTGATTGTCTAGCAATTTAAGCTTTTTTACTTTAATACTACTAGAACTTGTAATACTGTCGATTTGAATATCAAACATCAATTGATGCATTAGCTTAGATTCAATTTTTCTATTACTATTTGATAAAAAACCTAAAATTGTTCATAAATTAGTAAGCCGATTTATTCAAGAAATTTTCAAAAAAAAATTACCTAATATTCTATTTATGCATTTAAAAGAAAAATACCAAAATGCATATAACAAACTATTGTTTCTTAAGCAATTGTATAAATGGAGAGAAAGGTGAAGATTTGACATGATTTTGTTATGCCTGTAATTATTTTTAATCAACTTCACCATCTCAATAATCTTTAATATGCTTTATATAATAGATCTGATTCTACAATTTGGCTTACTAAAATTATATAAATCCTTACAAAATGTGTAAGAATCTTTCTATTTACAATTAGAAGATATTTTTAAATGAAACAGTGATATATACAGTAAAAAATATTTGCTACTGGTCAGGCGCAAAATTAAAAAATTCCTTTTTTTTATGAATTTACCTGGAATTCGACCCAGATCAGAAGAAATCTGAAACTTGTTTATCTTTTTCTGAATTTTATTCAGGGAATTTAATGTTAAAATCCCTTTATTAATTCAGATTTGTTTTACTATCCATCATACAATGCTTAAAAATAGGTAATGCATTAGATCGATTGTGATATATTTTATAAGGTCAAAATATGGCAAATGTAATAATTTAGACCATCTTATACTACTTTACTTTACAAATTATTTTTGTGAAGTATCTAAATTGCAGTATTTTCATTCTAAAATTTTTTGATGATATTTAATTAGATCTCGCATAATGAACCAATCATTGATATTATCCATTCTGGAAAAATTATACTAATGATTTTTATAATTTGCTTTCTTTTTACATTATGACATAATACTAAAGCTGAAATATATCTACATATTTTTCTAGTGACTAGTACATCATATGAAACAAGAATTAAAGCTGTATAAATGTTCTTTTCTTTAGAATATTCATGTGTTTTATTTATTGTTAATCCACTCCAAAGTGATTCTAATTCATTTATAATCAATACTAAATAGTAATTTATTTTATATAAACTGGCTTCATTTGGTCTGGGTAAAAGACCAGGAATCAGTTAATTTTCATATTTAAATCAGATATCATGAGGCAAATTGTATATAGCGGCATATATTATTCTGATACTATAAACAGTACCACTACAGTCCCCGGTGAAAAGAATGGTGGACACATTTTTTGAAGGTATGAAAATTTTTTATTATTAATTGCAATTGTTTTTTTTATTATTTAAAGATTAATACTAACGCAACATTATTTATTATATAATTAATATTTTGTATGGCCTCCTCCTGCGTCGATGCATGCTTGAACTCAGTTTAGCATACTTTCAATGTATTGAAGTAACACACTATTATCAAGATAATCCCATTGCTGCCGGATTATGGTAAGAAAAATTTATTGAGAAATTTATTTATCTTTTGCCACCAAATCCTTGACCTTTCTCTTAACAGTTCTCTTTAAAACAGCCCATACATTCTCGAT